GTACTAAGTTCTTGCTCTTGGAAACTGGATTTGACCTGGTAGGAACAGATTAGTTCCCTGGGGAATGGGTTGTTAGGAAGTCAGGATGCTCCTTAGGTGTTTCCCCCTTTATACTTGTTTACTTCCCCTGGGACCTTCTCTGGTATTTTGTGGCAGAGCATGAGAACCCTTGCACCAATGACGGAAAAAACAAACCTTTCCCAGCCTCAGGTATTCCTTTCTGACACTGCAAAACTGACTAAGACAGTGTCCCAAAACTATTTGATAAGATCGTTGGGAAAAAGCCTTTCTAAAAAAGTAGTAACACTTGAGGTTCCACTGAATGGAGCAGAAAGAGCCAGCCATGTGAAAATCTGTAGATACCCAAGGTCCTAGACTGGACTTGTAATTTCACATCTATACAGAACACAAGAAGATGGCTTGAGGGATGAGAGACACATTCTCTATTACTATAGAACTAGCCAAACAAGACCATTAAAATTTAGTTCATGTAAAATACAAAAGCTCAGTTCCTCAGTGGCATTAGCCATAGTTCAAGCACTGGACAGGGACATACTGGATAACACAGAGTCCATTTCATTCACTGAAGAAAGTTCTAGTAAATAGTGCTGCACTAGTGAAGTGAGAACATTGGAACAAGAGGAGAGGTGTGAGAGAGTGTCTTGGAAAGATCATGAAGGTCTCTGCAGTGGTCATGAGGACTTTGAATTCCACAAGTGCAAATGCAAAGCCTTTGGATGGTTTTAAGCAGGGGAGGTACATCATTCGATTCATAGTTTTAAACCATTACTCTGCTGCATAGAAAATGAATTATAAGGAAGGCAAGACCAGTTAGTTATTGTAATTGTTCTGACAGGGGATGATGTTGGGTCTTTGGTAGGTTATTATGAGGGGGATGGTGGAAACTAAATGGATTTGGAGTATACTTGTATTTTATAGAATTAAGTGGATTTGCTTAAATAGACTGGGGAAGTGAGAAAAACAGCAGAATGAAAAGCAATGCCTGCTTTGGGGGACTTGAGCAAGTAGGTAGGAGGTCACGTTCATCACTGGGATGAAAGAAGATTAAAGAGAAAGAGTTTGGGTAGCAAGGGGCCGAGGTTGGAGGGAGTCAGAAGAACTTTTGTTTGGATACATTTTAGTTACCTATTAGATATAAATGCATAGAGGTCAGGTAGGTAGTAGAAAATGAGTGAATCCCTGTAAGCCTAATTGTACCTGGTAAATGCCATGAGGTTATAATTCTAGATCCTCTTTCCAAAGAGCTAATAAAAACATACTAGCTATGGCTAAGTGGAGAGTTGCTTCAAGTGAAATTTGCATTTTTCTTTCTATTGTCCATGCTCTACGATTGTTCATTGTCCCCAACAACTTCCTTAGTGTGTAGCTGTGTTGTCCCCTTCTTGAAGGACTCATCTCTATCTGCTAAAAACGAGCACTATTTGCATACATATAAGAGACTGCTCCATGTCCACTTTATGTATTATAGCATTTATGTACATTGTTAATTGCTACTTTTAGTATAGCCCTGTGGCTTTCTGTGTCTCTCTAATATAAGTGTTTTATGCCTTTAGTTCACCTGCCTCCTGGGTTCTATATGGTAATAGGGACAAACTTTACCTTCTTTCTTTTTGGCAGACAAATAACTTTTATTTTTTAATTTTTTATATTTTCTCTATACATATACGTGTGTTTATTTGGTTTCCACTTTTTGCCTTCACAAAATTAAAAAGGCTTAAAATTTCATAACAATAACACTGTTTAAGAAAAGGACTAGAAATGAAAACTTTGTACAGAATGAACAAAGATAAATACATTCAGAAAAGAAATCAGACAATTGCTGCAATGAGCTATTGAGCAATCATCATAATAATAATGCAAAAAAAGTAACATTCACATTGTCAGATAAGGGTATGTTATCATAGAATGCTTTGACTCTGAGGTTCAGTATGGAGTCATCAGTTAACGTCTTCTTTTTTTCCCCAAAGTCTCAAAAAATAGATAATATTTATAAATAAAAATAGAAGATAATTTCAAAAACCAGATCATGCCAAATCTTGTAGACAATAGAAAAGAAGAAATACTTCAAAATCATTCTACTTCATCTGGATATACCTGATCTTAAAATTGGAAAAAATATATTATTATAAAGGGAAATTATAAAGATAGTTCACTTATAAATGAGGATGCCCTATCCTACACAACACATTCACAAGTGGAATGAAAAATTAATGCTTATACTTTGGCCAAAATGAAATCCAATTGATGTGAGAATCGGTCACTATTTTTTCTTATCTTTTCCAAATAACTTTGAAATATGATTTTTGTTGAAACCAGCAAGAAACCTGGATGCCAGAACATTACCTCTGTCACGCCACTGAATAACCAGGATGCCAGTGTTTAACCCATGAGCCTGGGACTCTTGTTCACAAATAATGGCAAATATTTTTTTCCTGTTACAAATATTTTTTAAAAATCTCCTTTCTATCTCTCATGATTCTGGTTTTTATGACATCAGTATGTTATCTCTTCTAAAGAATTGAGATCATTGAGGAGGCAGAAGCCGAGAAAATGGCAATATTCTAAAATTTCACTCACTTTGCTTTTCTTTCTAACAGTGGTATATGCCCCAGTTTTTACAGTTTTTTTTTTTTTTGGTTGTTGTTCTAATGTGCTATTTTTGATGCCAGCAGATATTAATATGATTTTCCAATCAAGGTTTTTCACTCGGATGTGTCCCAGGTAGGATCTGGCATATGAATCATATGTCTAAAAAGGAAACTCATGATAGTATATGTGCGTGCTAGGGGGCTCATTTGTCTTTGGCAAAGACATTGCTGCTCCTGTTTCCCTAATTATTAAACAGATGGTGCCCACTGCCATTGACTAGCTGCCCAACTTGTACTCCTGTGTGTTAGCACAGTTCTGGATGTTTGACAGAATAAAGCTGTACCATCACAGCACCTCACATCCACTTATGTCATAATATTAATGCCTGCTTCTAACTAGAGCAGCCTGTTTCCCACAAAGCTAAGTCAAAATCTTGAGTCATATTCTACCTCCCCCCCCCAATGCATTAATTATTGTATCTCAAGTATCTCCTTCTGGCTTTTTATTTTATTGCTTTATTTCTACACACAAAGTACAGTGGCATATTGAACCAATTACCCAAATACTCCAGGCTATAAACACACTTTAACCTGGAATGTCAAGATAATTAAGACAAAATTGGATTATTATTAAGATTATTAGTGAGGGCAAATGACATCTAAGGAATCTGAGATAGCCGTGTTAACATGGAACAGGGGTAAACTATCATGTTCTTGTTTAACTTTTAAAAAGATAATAGTTCCCAAGGCATATTGATAATTTGCTTTTTTTTTTTTTCTTCCAAAGATAGTCTCCATGTGCCCTGGGTAGAAGGCCATAGCATTGCTATAGCTCCCAGCAACCTCAGTTCTTGAGATCAGTGATCCTCTTGCCTCCGCCTCCCAGGTAGTTAGGACTACAAGCCTGCACAAGCCTGCAGCATACTTGGCTACTTTTTCTATTTTTAGTAGAGACAGGATCTTGCTCTTGCTCAGCTGGTCTCAAGCTCCTGAGCTCAAGCAATCTACCCACCTCAGCCTCTCAAAGTGGTAGGATAACAGGCGTTAGCCACTGTTCCAGGCAGCTCAACTCTTACTAAGCTAACCAAATTCAGTCTCTGTAGAGACTGTCAGAAATTGCCAATGTAGACCCTATTTCAAGTTGTATTTCAAGAAGGGGTATTGGGAAAAGTTTTTAAGTAGCAATAATCGTGCCTCAGATAAACCTCATTGGGTCCAGTACTGCCACTGAACAAAGCTTGATAGAGGTTTTTTAAAAGTCCATTGAACAGATACTGAATTATTCTTCATAATCTGCCAAAAATAATACTTAGCTTGAAAAATTTCCTTTAGTTTCTCAAATACTGCATTACGACAGCATAGGACCTGCAATCATTAATAAATAGGATCCTGATTTTTCTCATGTTTTTATCATTGTAGATAAAATATTTCACAGCCACCATCAGTCTTCTAACACCTTACCTAGTGTTAATCCACCTATCTTCACCCCTCCCTTGAGATATGTCTTTATGTCATGTTCTGATCAACTATCTGGGCTTACCTTTGTAAACCTTTTTGAGGCTATGGTCACTAAATCTCAATGTAATTTTGCCTACCACGGTCACTAACTGCTGATTAATACCTTGGATCAAAATGAATGCTGTCCCTCTCCCCCTTTAATAATTCTGCTGTGTTCTAGATAACTCTTTGCCATGCCATCATTTGAACTAACGGGACAGGCTCGGTCTCTGTTGAAAACAGACTTTCAAGCAGGAGCAGCTAAAGCATTACAAGGCAGCCAGGAATTGGTTTGCTGTTGTACCTGACTTGAGAACCTATGAGCATCTTAGAATCACTCAGACAGTAGATGTGGCTGTCATTTTCAATGACAGTAGGAAGTACAGTGGCTCCTATCGCCTGCCAAGTAACATCTTTTTTCATCTTCCTAGGAAGCTCAGCCTCAGGGTCAGCCCCAGACCCCCACACCCTGGGCTCCCAGGAGCTGTGTGGTGGACCCGACCAGAAGCCGCTCCTCAGGCACGTAGGTTGTAGGAGCTGCCCTCCCAGCAGAGAAGCCAAGAAACTGGGAGCAGCGCCTCCTCCGGAGTAGGAGGAGGGAGCTCGGCGGAGAAAGCTTTCCTAGGGAGTTGCCTTAAAGGAAGCAGGCAAGCGGAATTGCCGATCGCTCCAGTTGCCTGCTTTATATAGTTTTAAGCAGCGGTCTTCACTCGTTTCCCTTCTGCAAAACTGTAAATCACTACCAACCTTGCACCAGAAAGGAGGAAAAAAATACCCAGCCGAACCTTCGACTCTCTTCTCACCCTCCCTTTCCTTTCACCCTCCCTTCCTCTGCTGGTCGCTCGCTCTCCCTCCCTCCCTTCTCCTACGGTTGCCGCTAGTCTCTCGCTCGGTCTCTCTCCGACGGGACTTAGCAACTTCTTGATTAATTCTGAGCCCCCTTTCCATTTTTTCCCCACCCTTGGCCATGAACTGGACCGACAGATGCGGGGGAGGCTTTGCTTTCTGCCCCCGGGAACGGCGATTCGCGTCCTGGGGCCGTGCCGGGGAGGATCGGCCGAGGAGAAAGAAAGAGTGATAGAGAAAGAGCTGCAAGAAGGAAGAGAAGGGAGCCCTCCATCTGCCGCGGGCACGGCGCGCAGCAGGGCAGCTCGGAGCTGCGCCCGGAATGGCCCGGAGCTCGCCCCGCGCCCCCGGCTCCACCAGCGTCAGCAGCCCCGGTGCGCGGAAGGCATCGGGCAATTTTTAAAGCTCTCAAGTAGGAAGAGACCCCGGAGGATATAAATCGGGGGTGGGGCTGGAGCTGAGAATTTCAGAAAGCCATTCAAAGAGAGAAAAGGGGAAGCCTGGTCGTTCCTGCCTGTGCTAGCTTTTAACTTGAGCAAGCTAGCTAGCTCTTAACTTGAAGAAGTCTCTTCGGAGCATCTAGAATTCTCCGGGAGTTACTCGAAAGCTGAAACTTTCACGGATCGTGGGCCTGAGGAGGAAAACAAGGGATTCCGAGGGTGGGACTGGGCAGAGCGTGTGTGTGCAGGCGCGCGGGTCGGGGACCACCGGGGAGGCGGTGAAGAGGGCACAGCATGGCAGTGCCCGGCGAGGCTGCGCTCGTCAGGGACAAGCCCGGCAGAGGGGCAGGGGTGAGTCCAGCCCCCGCCGCGGGCCGGGACTGCTCCCGACGTGCTGGCCCGGCGTCCCCGCCGGTCTCCGGCTGCGGCGGCTGCTGGGGAGACGTGGTGCTGCAGCCTCTCCGGCGCTCCCGGAAACTTTCCTCGGCGCTGTGCGCGGGATCCCTGTCCTTTCTGCTGGCGCTGCTGGTGAGGCTGGTCCGCGGGGAGGTCGGCTGTGACCCGGAGCAGAGCAGGGAGGCGGCGGCGGAGGAGGAGGAAGCAGCCCCCGGGGCAGAAGGGGGCGTCTTCCCCGGGCCTCGGGGAGGCGCTCCCGGGGGCGGCGCGCCGCTCAGCCCCTGGCTGCAGCCCTCGGCGCTGCTCTTCAGTCTCCTGTGTGCCTTCTCCTGGATGGGCTTGTACCTCCTGCGCGCAGGGGTGCGCCTGCCTCTGGCCGTCGCGCTGCTGGCCGCCTGCTGCGGGGGGGAAGCGCTTGTCCAGATTGGGCTGGGCGTCGGGGAGGATCACTTACTCTCGCTCCCCGCCGCGGGGGTGGTGCTCAGCTGCTTGGCCGCCGCGACATGGCTGGTGCTGAGGCTGAGGCTGGGCGTCCTCATGATCGCCTTGACTAGTGCGGTCAGGACCGTGTCCCTCATTTCCTTAGAGAGGTTCAAGGTCGCCTGGAGACCTTACCTGGCGTACTTGGCCGGCGTGCTGGGGATCCTCCTGGCCAGGTACGTGGAGCAAATCTTGCCGCAGTCCGTGGAGGCGGCTCCGAGGGAGCGTTCTGGGTCCCACCTGATTGCTGGGACCAGGGAAGACATCCCGGTGTTTAAGAGGAGGAGGCGGTCCAGCTCCGTGGTGTCCGCCGAGATGTCCGGCTGCAGCAGCAAGTCCCATCGGCGGACCTCCCTGCCCTGTATACCGAGGGAACAGGTAAGCACTGGGCAACTGTTCTCGGCTCTCGGGGAAACTTGCAACACTTGGGAACCGCCGCAAAGTGGAGAGAATCAGCGCTGGGAACTGAAGGGACGGTAGCCTGGAAAGGGGGTACGGCGTGAGACAGGACAAGACAGAGTCTGCTTTCTCCTCCTCTCACACAGAGTTTTATAACCTGAACAAATGAAAACGAATGAGTAACAAAACTAGACGGTGTTTGCAGGTTCCTCCACAGCTGAGCTAACTTTTTACATCTGCTGCACCTGGTGAATGGCTTTCCCACACGTTCAAGTACGCTCACACTTCCTTACTGAATATTTTAGCATTACGTTTGGTTTTCTAGCAGTGGGTGATTTTTTCAATACATGGATTTTATTATATTTCTAATTCTTTTTTAATAGAATTTCCTTCTTACACTGTGATAGGTAAACATTTGTGAAAACCAGTACAAAGATTCTAGAGCAAGGCAAAATAGGCTTCAAGGTGAAGTATTGCTACTAGGCTTTCTGGGTTTGCAGTAAGTTTTATTTGGAGAGATCACATCTAGAGGTGCCCAATTTGTTTTTAAGCATTATTTAGTGGCAGACAGTATTACATGCTGGTGTGTTTGTATCATAATCATAAACTTCAATTTGGGGAATAAGATGCCTGAACATCACAATTGTTCAAGATGGTAAACCGTGCCTTAGTGACAACTTAAAAACCCCATTTCTCTTCAGTATGTGCATACTTAAGTGGATACTTAGAAAGATATTTTATACAGGTTTTACAGGAAATATTAATTTAGAATACTTCTAAGATTGCTGATGATATGTATCTTTCAGAAGGGAGGAGGAGGAGGAACCTGGAATTCTGAGTGATGTAAATAAAAGTTTAGTCAGTTTGGAACATCAATCTCCTTATTGTTATTAAATGTTTAAAACCATGGAAGCATTGCTATAAAGAGCATAAACGAACACATCTTGATTTTAAATATAAATTAGATCCAAAAAGGCATTCTTGAATGTTCACCTCTCTACTTGAAGCAGATTTGACACTTCTTGGTGGTGGGAAGGAGCTGGCTGTATACAGCAAGTGGAAATGTATGCTTTTCCCATGTAAATTTATGCCTACCTATGGAACCATATGGACAATTCTAGGGAGTTAGGGAACATCCTGAGATATAGTAAGACTTTTCTTTTGAGGTTATTCTGTAGATAATCATTTAGGTATTTCTAAGAAATAGCAGTCACCATATGGTGTGGGCGCTAGTTTGTTTGGGAAATGAAGTTGATTACACAGATCTGTCGTTGGACATTATTTAGCAGAGTAGATGACAGCATCAGAGTCCTGTGTTTATTTTAAAACAAATGTACTTATTTAGCCTTTTGTTTAAATAAAACAAATGTTTCTTGGATTACTCTGAGAGTAACTCTAAGAGTTACTGTAGGAGTGAAGGAAGAAAAACAGCCCACTGATAATTAGTTTTGCTATAAATTTGAAAATCATTGAAATAAAGTAAATTATCTATTTACACATAAACTGAAGATTTTATTTTTTTTTTCACAGTTACACATGAGAATGTCTTTTAAAAGAAAACATCACAGCTTTAAAATATTAGGGCACACTATTCTTTAACTTACAGGAAATGCGATGTGACCATTTCAAAATTGAACCATAATTCCTAAGGAAAATCTGGGATTTCATGGTGAATAACTTGACTCCAAATTCATATTATTTAGCCTCTGCAATTAAATTTCTGAAACCATTTAGTAACATTGAGACATTTAGGAGATAAGGGTGAATTTAAGGTAAGAAGGTGTTTAGGTGAATTACAGAGCAGTGTTAATTAACCTGCAAATTTTTATTGGTTTCCTCTGGTTTAAATTGATACATGGAGAATTTGAGTTATTTGCCAACTTCTAAGAAAAATCACTGAGCATTGCATTTTAAAATGTGTTGCTGATTAATACAGTTTGAAAAATGCATATTTAGAATATATTTTGAAATTTTCTTTGTTTTTTTTTTTTAAAGCTGTGTTAATGAAGAATGTTCCAAACTTTAGAATTAGATTAAATCTAAAGAGGGACTTTATCTCTTGGGGTCGATGGAAAAGCAAGAAAATATTTAGCAGAAATCACAAGTTTTAATAAGGGCATGGGTGAGTGCGTGCGTGTCAGTGAAGACTGGATTTTATATATGACCCATTTAAAATTGTTGCTGAGTGTAATTGTGGGGAGTGGGTGGGAACTAACATGAAATAGTCCCAGATAGGGCAATATCTCATGCCTAACTGTGTGAAAAGTTCAGGAGATGCAATAAATGGCTTATCTGTTTTATCATAAGGAAACAAACTTCTGATGAAGGGTGCAAAGTGTACTGTGTCATTGGCATGCTTTACAAAGTAAAGAATCCAAATAATGATAAAACAAGTATAACATTCCCCTGAATGCTACCTCATTAGCTGATTTGATTTGTTTTCCGGAGGAATGCCTGCCCTCAACTCAAGACAATACTCATAGGCAACAAGTGAGTTTTAACTAGTAGAACGCAGAGAGGCTGTCGGAGGCCTCTTGACAATTTATTTGGACTTTGCTCATTGGGAGATTTAAAGGTGAGAGAATTTAACATTTTCTTGTCCGTATGCATGACAGTGGTCACTTGCTATGAACTATCCCCTTTCAACGGCTCTTAGTTCTCAACATGTAAAGAGAATAGATGATAAAATTCTCAGAAGGCAAACCACCGACAACATGTATTTTCTTCCTCCCTTCCTCTCTCCCTTCCTCCCTTCTTTTCCAGAACTGAAAGTCTATAGCACTGGTTTAACTGTGAATGCAAGTCGAGGTATCTTTACTCTCAGTAAAGAACCAAGTTTATAGTATCCGCATGGCTTTTAATTTAGTCCTCTTAGCCCAGTATCCTCAGTACTGAGGCTGATTTTGTAGATGAATGTGTCAAACTGAACTTTTGTGGCTGGCAGTACTAAGAAGGTAAGTGTCCATTAAGGTGCATGTATCTTTAAGTAGACTTTCATATCTGAGACCAGATGTATCTCTCAAGTTATACCACTGTATCCTCCCTCTCCCACCAAACAGTGGAATATACAGAAGTACCTAGGATTTCTTGAGTTATTAGATATTACCTGTGATTAATGTTATTTGCCAACATTAAAAATTATGCAATTCGTAACATTTGGAAATTGTACTTTAAGGGGCATCTATTCTCTTCATATGTCAAAGAATACCATTGGTCACTCATTCCTGTCTAATAACTGTGGCAAACTTAGACTGACTTTTGAAAGATTCCAAACCAATGCAATTTTATTTTAGTTGTCAAGAAGGCTTTAATATTTTTACCTATGATTTCCAATGAACATACAGATAGAAAGCATGTGAATCATCTACCCATTAATGCTTTTATACCAGTTAAGGACACAGTTCTTTGGGATGACCACAACATCAGTCAGAAATGTATAGCTACATATGTCAAATTATGTAATTAAAAGCCAAAATTGTTTTCTGTAAATATTTCCCTAAGCTCTCAACCATCTTTAGCAAAAATGAATGGCTTACTATAGGAATGTAAGCTGGCTATCCAAAGGAGGATCAAGTTTGTCATCACTAATATGAGAAAAACATTTTGAAGCAGAAAAGCCCAACAAAACAAAAGTAGGAGAAATGGGTATGTTTCTGATGGTAGGCGGCTGAATGGTAGTCATTGTTGTCTTTGTAAAAAGCATAACCTGCTTTTATGCTATAGATATAAAATACAGACATATTTTTTCTGAATGTATAGAATATGTTATTTTAAAAGTTTTTAAGTACATTTCAATATAACATAATTTCTCAAAATGAATACATGTTAGAAAGAGTCCTGGGCTTTTAGTTCGATCAGAGCTTATACATTTTTATAGTATTAGCTACAAAGAACAATATTGCTTATTTATGACGTGGTGACTGAATTAAAATTAATTAATGCCGACCTCTGAAAAATACTGAAAAGGAAAAAACAAGATTTTCTTATCCCTGGGGAAAGGTGAGGGAAAAGAACGTTTTGTTTTTTGGGTGGGGAAAAATTGTGATTTTACTTTGTGAATACAGATATTCAAAGCTTACTGCAAAAACTGTTTTAATTGACAGAAATAGTCAGCGAATCTATATAAATTTACAGAGGTTGGAAGGAGTGAAAACAGTAATTTTACCCTCTCTGTATTGAGTCGACAGTGTAAAAAGTTAAAACTGTAGAACTAAAAGAAATGCTGTGTCCGCTGGGCTGTCATGTTAATTAAATAAACAACCAGAACAGTAACTCTGTGTATGAAATACATTTTGAAAAGCCTGGGGGGAGGGGGGTGCAGGCAGGCAAGGGTGAGTGACACTGGCCTGAAAAAACATTCATTATATCTGTAGTGACATGTGTGTGAATTTGCTGTATTCTATTAGAAAATTCAGCTCTAAGAATAATTTCTTCGGGGCTCTAGTTGAATAAAGGCTTTACCAAATTTAATTTTACTTCTATTTTAAGCAAGTTCTCATTTATTACATGGAGGTAGGATATTTATAAACCTCAAAATTAGAAGCACGCCTATATATTTTAAGTTTTTCCATTAATATGGTTGGTGTCAGTAACAGCCTCTGTCAACTTCTTGAAAACTGGTGTTATTTAACCTATCACAAGAATGAGTTCATTGGGGGTTAAGGTGGGAGTTCCATTTCTCAGAAAAAGTTATTGGGAGTTGTACCCTCCTGGATGTGTGGAGATACTCAATGTGACTATTCATGTAGTAGTCTAAGAGATTTTGACATAGTGAAGTACCCCCCCCCCACACACACACCTTGTATTGGGGCATGGGGAAAGTTTCTTATGCTTTGCGAAGTGATGCTTAACACTACTTGTTTAGGGTGAATCGCTTACTCAATTCTCATGTATTTCCTGTTCAGTGGAAGCTTCCTTTTCCTTCTCTTCTGTGTGATGTTTATAATTGTCTTTTAAAAAAACTCTCAAATATATCTTGA